TATCAAAACATAGCAGTCATTTCAAATGATTCTATGAGAGGTAACACAAGATCATTTTAGAAGTTCTTGTTTTTAGCTTCATTTTCTTTGTTTTTTTGTTTGTTTGTTTGTTTTTACCACTTCTTTCGTTTACTAATTGAGCACTTACTGATATCTATGACATATAGAGATTTCCTACCTCATGTTCCTAGGAACCTAAGGAAAACTCTGTTAGTTGAACTGAACTTACCTTTTGCTTCAGGACTATATTCTGCTTCTCCATCCCATTCTGCCCATCCTTAGACTCTTCTCAAACTCTGCCTGTAGTGATACTCTCAGCACAGATTTTTTTTTCTTTTCCCTTCAATACTTATTATAATAGCAATATTTTTAAGTGGCTCTCAATTTTCAAGTGTATTTCTATATTGCAGTGATCGATGAATGTTCTGCCAGTGTCCACACTTGATTAACTTCTGTAGCGTATGTTGAACTTAAGTAGCCAGTTGTGTTAGTTGAAAACTATCAGGTGATGTCAATGCAACTCACAAAAGAAAGTTCCCCTAAGGCACGGTCCTTGATATAATCAAGTGCCATCTTAGGATTGAAGAGTATTGGTTATTATCTCCCTCTCAATTTCAACACTTTAGTTCCGTGGAAAAGTCAATTAACTATTCTGGCCTTCGATTTCTCCATATACAACCTACAAATGAACAGCAAAAAATTCTCAAATCTCTATTCACTCACGTATACAGCTCTTTGAACTGTTTAAAGTGCACAGTAGAAATGAAACTATACTGGCAGTTATACAGGTATCCAATAGTCATATCTGATATGAACTTTCTCTTTCTAGACATTTGAAGTACAATCTTCCATGTTTAAAAGAAGTTAACAGAAAATTATATTCTATTATTTTGTTTTTCTTTGATATAGAAAGAACACACATAAAGACTGTTGGACTTCTTTTTAAGTTCTTTTCCCATTTATTCCACACCTAGATAAATTCCATATTACCAATGCTTGAGTCAGAGCATCCTCAAATATCCTGTTATTTCAAGGATTATTTTCTCTTGTATATCCAGATGCTTTTGGCTGTCTCTTTTTCTTTGAAATCTCCAACAATATTTCAAGTTTGGTCTTTATATTTTAATTTTGCTTTCTGAGATTTTTCTGACATATTTGTAGGTTACAGCCAAGAAATAGAAGCTAGTATGGCTGACAGAAGAAGTGTATCCAAATGTATACATAGAGGGCAGGTCCTTCAAAAGAGATGCCCTGCTCATGTGCTTCAAGCACAGATGTAGGCTACTGTCCCTCAGCACATACTTCAGAGCCAGCTCCTCATCCTGGGGAGCACCTGGAAGCCCAATCCAACCTCCTCAGGCTCTTATATGTTTCTCCCTCTCATTCAGTCCAAATGGCCTTGACAAAAAACTGCTTGTGAAGAAGCAAAAGCACCCCATGGGAAGGCCGCCATGGTCAGGTCAGAGCTCCAAACAGCTCTGTAAATCTTAAAGCACTCACAGAGGACATTTTCTTATGAAAGAAATACTTCAAACAGCCTGAAAATTTAATTTATATCTGGGTCTCTCTGAAAATGCTTTGGGACATGGCAGTACCAACAATAGACTTAAGAGGTTGAGAGCTTTTAATAGGTGCAGCTTTCTCTGTAACAATTTGTCCCTACATATTGTAAAAAGTAATGGTTTATTGGGAATGAATACCTCATATCAAAAGACTAAATGTACTAAATATAAACATTTTCAAAAAGACTGGAAGCCTTTAAACAATTTTTAAATGGAAAACCTCTTTTCTTTGATTTTTTTTTTTTTTTCCCGGAACTGGGGATGGAATTCAGGCCCTTGTGCTTGCCAGGGAAGCGCTTATTCCACAGAGCCATCTCCCTGGCTTGATATTTCTTTAAAAAATAATTTAACATTCAAAGGAAAAAACTGATATTATTTATCTCATGAAATAAAAATGACATTTCAATTTCATCCATTACACAGTTTAGAATCCAGTAGCTCACATGTCATATTTTATTTAATTCCTTAAGTATGGCTAGTCATTTCGGATTAGAAGACTGTGAGAACTTTAAGTCCAAAGAAGGATCCAAACGCATTACCAATGAGAAGGCAGCTACAGACAGAAAGCTGTCTAACTGCTGCTTCATGGTTCCCTAGCACTCCTCTCTGCTTTTCCGAGTGCTCCCTTCTGACTTGGGATGTGATGCATATCCCAAGTGCACAGAATTCAAGTAACAGTTCTCCTAGACTCTTAAGTAAAATTCTGAAATCAAAATGTAGGAAGAATATTTATGACCCCTCATGGGCATGTTTTCAGACCACAAACAATGCCAAGATGAGGAAGAAATATTTAGAAATTTATAACAGACTTTAAAAACAAAATTTGTAATTGGAGAAGAAACACAGTTCAAAAACTACAGAGAGATAAAAGACACAAAGACTTTTTTTTAAAATGAAACTCGTGTGTGCTCACAAAGGAATTATAGAAAAAAAAAAGAAAAGAAAATAGCACTTTCATTCTAACACAACAGTTATATTTAATTTTCATCCATTTAAGTAGTATTATTTTTAAATATATACCCAACAAATAATGTTGATTTAAAAGTTAACCAGGTATCTTAACACATAATAATAAGAAAGTCTAATTTTTTAATTTGGTCATTTAGAAACAAACAAAAAAAAAAAACAAATAGAACAAGCATTTTTATTATATTGAATCACTTATTCATATATATTGTGATACTATGGATATTGTTGAAGATGATAAAGTTTTAATCCCTGGAAATTATAATGTGATATATTAGATGACAAATGGGACTCAGGTGAAAATACAGAATTAGGATTACTAAGTAGGTGAATTAAAGAAGAGAAAGTATCCTGGGTTATCCAGTGGAACACTGTGGTCACAAGTTCGTCAATAATCAGACTAGTGGTAAAAAGGACTGAACCAGTCACTGCAGTCCTGGGCAATGGGAGGGACTCTCGAGCAAAGGAAACTTCCACAACACAGAAATTGGAAACAGTGAGCAGCTGGATCCTCTGCTGCAGTCGCCGGAAGACGCAGAACCTGCCAACAGTCTGATCGTATCCCCGCTGGACCCAGTTCAGACTTCACACCTCCATCACCTTAATGTGATATAACTGTGTTGTTTCAAACTACTAGCTATATGGTAATCCATGATTAGAAGAGAGAACCCTGACCATGGTCTTTTTACCATTTGCCAGAAAACAAAGCTGTGAGAACACAAGTCATTTGTCACTAATAAGTACATATCTCATGAGTACTGTGTCACCTTGAAACTTAATTAGCAAAATAAGTTGCTACTCTGTTTTATTAAGGAAAAAGAAATCTAGTTGTACATGCTATAGAAAGTATATCAGATGGTATTTATAGTTTCCATATATGACTATAGTATCAATTTACAGGATTATAAATACTCTGAAAATTAGAACTGCTGTCTGGGCATGTGAGTAGCCCTTATTCAATGAGAATGAACATGTGAAGACCAGGCCTGGATGCAGCAGACACAACTCATGCCATCACTAGGAAACTTGATTCAATGACTTTAAAGTCTCTTGCAGACTCCTAACTTACAGGCAGTTGTCTTAATACAGTGGAAAATATTGCAAGTGAAACCACTGGCAGGAAGGGTGTTGGGAGTAAAACCGTGACATGAAAGGACCTGGCTAAGTATTCTCCTTGGAGACTTTTCTACCTCATCCTGATGAGTTTCAAGGTGAAATACAAATATGATTTAAGGACAAAATAAAAAGCAGGCAACCATTTTTAAGCCAACAAGAGGAATGATTTCATTTCATTAGTAGGTTTAAATTCATAAAACCACAACAATCCTTATATAAAACATTAAATTTTATCAGAGAAGAAAAAAACTACATTCTGTATGCCATACCTTTTTCCTATGCTAAATTATCTCATGTCCTATGCTTATACCGGAGTGGTCCAAGATACTTGTTTGTGGAGACCAAATATTGGAAGTCTTAGTATTCTCTGGAGTCTATGTTGAGTTTTTGTCATACCATCTGTCAATGTATGACAAGGTAATGACACCTACAAAGAGGCTACTTTGAATACACAGGGCTCTTCTGAATCTAATGTCCACTTTCTATTCCTTGCAGATAAATATACCCTCTCTCTTCTGCATTTGACTAAATGCATAACGAGGCAGGTTCAGAGGTAGAAGTGAATAAAATCTTTCATTATTTCCTACAAGTGAAAATTATCACTATGATATAGCCATAGTCCATGCTGATTCTCACAGTAAGTATAAAAGATGTGAATAACCTTCTGAATAATTTGCAAATCACTGGTCAGGTGCATAGATTTTTCGCCTCTATCGTGTTCTCCACTGAAGCATTATTATTTTGAGTGCTCAGTGATTTGAGGTCTTCAGGATTTACTATTTAAATTACTTACAATCTTGGTACAGTAAATTGAAAATTTTAACACAAAATTCAGGTGCAGGGCTCATCTGAACTTGGGGCTATCATGGCAGGCAATCGAAGTTCAGAAAGCAAAACCTTCACTTTCAATATTGATTAGTGGGGCTGGGGAGATAGCTCAGTAGAATAAGTGCTTGCCTGGCAAGCGCAAAGGCCTGAGTTCAATCCCCGGTTCCCCCACAAAAAATATGATTTAGTATCTTTCATATTTCAGATGTGCAATCTATCAAAAACTGCACTGCTCTTAAATTTGATTATTCTCCAAAGATGAACTATGTTATCTACATATAGCATTCCTAAGACCCTGAATAATTACATTAGTTGCAAGTATATAGAACTGTACATATCTGATGTTTTCTATAGCAAACAATCATATATAACTTGAGAAACTCCAAAGTTAAAGCACACAGAGAGTTAAATCCTATCTTTGAATTTTGACATGTTCAGTTCTTTGAGAAAAATGTTTAAGAAATCTTTTCTCCTGCAAGGTTAGAACCATGTAATACATTTTTAGTGAACATTAAATGATAAACTTACATCAGAATTAAATCTCAACTGGCAAATGTTGCATGATATGATTTGCTTTCTTCGATGAGGAAGAGGAACCCCAAATGTATGATTTATTACAGCTTTCTGAATCGGGTCCATCTGTAATGAGAAAAAATACAACAAATGAAAATAAAGCTTGTCAGTTACACTGGAACGCTGCCTGTTTCATTAAAAAGAGCCAATCTGTACAGCTTCAATCTACTGCTCCCATTATAAAGAATATTTTTATTGTAAGAAAATGCATCTCTACTTTTTGGAAAATAGATAACAATAACTCCTTATCCCATATGATAAGGGAATGACAAATGTACCCCTTACAGTCTGCATACTAAGTGCCTTTCTCTTTTCTGATCAACAATTGTTACAACTTGAAAATCATTAAGTACAATTAAAGTTTTATCAAAACTCAAGTTCTTCACTAATCCCAACAATCTGGCACATAACTAGTCTATACCACTGTCTAAAAGTAGACTTCAAGACAGACTTTGTTAGTTGAGAAGCTACAAAAATAAATTATATGCCATGATCCAATTTCAACTGCATGGTATGTGTTGTATATTTTAGACTCCAGAAATACAACACAGATCCTGGTTTTTAAGAAGAGATAGATATAGATATACAAACATGTCTCAGAAATAATGCCTAATATTCATCTTCTATTATACATTATAACTAATCAATTTTCCTAAATAAGACATTGATAAATTTTACTAGCTCTAGCATATTTCAGATCACTGAAACCAGGGAATGCATGCGCTTTCTCTACCCATAGATAGGAGAAAGTTTCTGTATTCTGTTCTGTTTATTGTTCTTATCACGTTGTCTGAGAATGTTTAATGTAATCTTCTAAATAACAACTGCAGCAACAGAAATCTAGCAGTCAGTATTCATTATAGTGCCTTTTAGGTGCTACACACTAGGCTAATGTTTTTACATATTTTGTAATTAACAGGGAACAAGATAAATCCATGCATGCATTCATTCTTATCTTGTATTTCCATTTAAATTCGTTATCTGACATAAACATTGCTCAGATTTGAAATGAAATTTGAGGTGTCCCTTTGATTTTTAAGTACACTTACAAGAATTCAAAAATTATAAGACTTTTTCACTTACTACTGAAATCTATCTTACTGTCTTTTGTGTCACTTTTTATTTAGGTATAATTTACAAGCAACAAAATTCACCAACATTAAGTGCACAATTTAATGAAGTGAGATGAATGGATGTAGCCACAAACAATTACTGAACAGAACTTTCCCACTGCCTGGAAAAGCATCCTCTTGCTGTGCTGTAATCATTCTCTGCCCACCACTCTCAATCCCTGAAGCTGCTGCACTGCATTCTGTCTGAGAGTCTGACTTTCACCTCTGCTGCATGTTTGACTAGAATATTCCTTTATATTGATGACTAAAACATTTGTAGAGTATATTACAATATGTTAATATATTTACCAAGTGATGGGACGTTTGAATTGTCTTAACAATCTAAAGTCATTTTAAAATTCAGCTCAGTGCTTTAATCCAAATACTAAAAACAAATTTAAAGTTTAGCACCGCACAGGTCTATTATGTGACAGTAGTATGAAAAGTCACAGAACATGGTTCAGGATAGTTCTGTGTACAAACTGCCATGACTCCATCTGCACCACGCTTCCAAACTTTCCTGAACCTTACCTCACTTTTACTTCCACAAAATGGAAATTTTGTGGAAGCAAGCTTTGAACTACGCAGTTTCTTCAGGCTGTTTCACTAGCTTTCATTGCTATCCACAGGTCATTCTCATACCACTTCTAAAATGTCACCACAAACTTCCATGTCAACAACTACAGAGACATTTTTTTTTCAGCTATAAGCTGAGAAAAGCAACACGAAGATGTCATCAATGTAGAGGTAGTTGTGTCATCGTCCTCTGTTTGAGGGCTCTGTGCACAAAGAGGGCTGATTTCTTTCAGAGGATAAGGTGAATCATGCCCACAATCTATTAAAGACTATTATAATTCTCATAATGATACTTTGAAATAAGAATGTATCTCATATTTAGATCAGAGATGGTTCTAGAACATACCTAGTGTGGAATTTTTATCCTATTGATGAGAAGGATATTATTTTGGTCTCTCAATGCACTAGGAAATTGTGACTGCATTCAACCCAAATTTAAGTAGGAGGTATTTTGGAACCAGACATTTAATGCAAATGTGACATAATCTCTAGATTAAATTCTTTTGTTTGAATTGAATGATGTTCTGATCACCATGGCTGTAAAATCAGATTTCAAAATACAAAGTGGTATATTCTTCAGAAAGAATTTCATTTCCCAGTCTACTGAAGGAAAAATGAATTATATTTTACAGATATATTTCACCAAAAGTCATAAACAGAGCACCAAAGTTAATTATCTTTTAAAGAATCCAGCACAACATAATGATAAAAGTTCAAAAATTTATCAATTGAAAATAAATAATCTAAGAAATATTGTATATGTGTGTCTAATCATTCGTAGGGAGCAATTATGAAACGACAAAGTCTAAATAGTAACTGGTTCCATTGTTAAATGCTTCATTAAATGGTATTACAGGCTGCAGAACTAAAAGTAAAATCTACCATTAAATCAAGGAACATCTGCACAACCACCCTGATCATTTTTCCTAAAGTTATAATTATTTAGCATTATAATCAAGTATTTTGCTTTAAAAGAAAGTCACAGTTTTTCGTTCTTTCCCTACGAACCAATAGGTGTGTTCTACCAAAATAATCATATTCTATTGTCTGTGTGCATATTATCATCAGTAGTTTGTCTGAAAAATTAGTTGAAAGGGAAACTAATCTGTTTGGTAGACAAGAAAAAAAAGGGACTTTTGGAGAAAATCCTAGTAGTAGCCGGCACATTCATAATACACAATACAATATCAAAATCTCTGAGATATGTTACAATAAAAATACTCTAATTCATAATTTCTAAAATAACAATCAATGATTTGTGGGGTTTTGTTTAAGAATGATTATTCAATGCATTCAATTTAGAAAACAGTGCTCTGAGAAAAAATCATATAAAATATGAATTAAATATAAAGATTTCTATAATAGTAAAGATACGAAAATTTCTATAATAGTAAAGATACTAAAATTATGTAGGTGTTAGATGCCTAAAACATTCAGATACACCCCACCTAAACATGTAATATTGAATTAAAACTGCCCAATAGTATATCATACGGCATATTCATTTAATTTCTAAATTGGAGTATCATAAGTAGCAGAATTTTAAATCCCTCATACAATTCCCCAGTACAAACACACCAAAACAAAGAAAGCTATACTACCTATTGATATGCTCACTCAAACTCTCTACTAAGATTCAATTTTCAACTCAGCCTGTGGCCTCATTTGAAGCTAAATGAAAATGTTTTTGCTCACTTCAGGTTTAAGGACTTTTGCATTTCTATCTAAGGTCTAGGTTTTCACCACTTCCCCTCTAGGCATTCTGCTAAATGCATTTATAAACAAGCGCGAAGGGGCCATGTCTCAGGGCAACAGCAGCAGCCCTATACTCTTCTCCAGGAATCTTTTCTTTATCTTCTTTTATATATTTTCAGTTAAGAAGGAGTTTAACCCTGAGTTTATACTTCCTGTTCTAAGAGTCATTTCTTTCTATCCTACTATTATGACTCTTTCATCTTTTAAATCAAAGAATAAGAATTCAGATGCCCAGAAGTGTAGAAGTCCAGAAATACTCAAGTTGTCTCTTCTAGATGATATTTCTGTATAATAATAGACAGCAACAATAACTGTAAAGGTTACACTTAACAACACTTACTGTGTGTTTGACAGTTATAAGCACTACTTCTGTCTTAACTTACTGAGAAGCGTTTATTGGAGTTGTTCTTTTCCCAAAATCACACAAGCAGCAGGCAACACAGCCAGCTACCACCACCCAGCCCATCACTCTGCCCGACTCTTCATGCCGTGGTCAAATGACTACACGTTGTGGGTTCCCTGGCCCACACATGCTCATCAGCCCTCCAAATGTGAGGACCTAGGGACATTTGTGACTCCCTGATAATTGTGCCTCCACATGGAGAACTTGAGCATTTTTAAGTCAACCTAGAGTTTGTAAATTTTATCTTTATATTACTTATATTCATTCATTAGAAAACACTGCAGAGAAATTCCTAAAAGGTCAGTTCCACATTAATTTGTCTATGTAAGTAATTTATAATTTCTCCTCTGTTTCAGCTATGTAATTCACACACGAAAAGGTATGTCATCTAAATTTTTAATTTTTAAAATACAAACCCACTGACATTTGCCACTATCTCAATAAAGAGAACATTTTCAGCATTTTAGAGGCTTTCTGCTCCTGCCCAATTAATAGATGCCAATAGAAACTACTAGTGCCAGTATGACATATCTTAGTATTTAATTTTTTTAATCAGACTCAATAACATATCACTGTTTATTTTTTTCTACTTTGGTCTTCATACAAATGCAAATGCACAGTATGTGAAGTATTCTTTGTATCTGGCTTCATTCATTCAACATGCATCTATGGCTATTGTGTTCAGTGTCACCTCTATAGATTATTCTACTTATTGATGAACATTTGAGATGTTTTCTTCTTGAATATTGATACATATGCTACTGTAAGTATTTCTGAGCATGTAATTTGTTGGATATAAAAGCCATTTCACTGATATATATATATATAGGCATTAAATTCTATACAGTAGTATATAAATATAAATTCTATACATATATAAATTATTATTATTATTATTATTATTATTATTATTATTATTATTATTGGTTGAATCAGAGATTGAACTCAGGCCTTACACTTGCCAGGGAAGTGCTTATTCCACTGATCCATGTCCCTAGCACCCACATATATAAATTCTATACAGATTAAAAAGTTATTTATTTATTTATTTATTTATGGAACCAGGGATTGAACTCAGGTTCTCGCGCTTGCCAGGCAAGCAGTTATTCCACAGAGCCATCTCCCCGGCCCCAAGTATATAAATTCTATACAGATTCACTGCATGTCACTAAAAAGGTTTTCAAATTTTTTATTATAATACTGCTAGGCAGGGCTGGCCC